GCACCAGTATCAGGCAGCCATCTATTACAGGGATCACCTAATCCAGATCCCAAATTGAACACAACTTGAATAAGCCTTGTGACTCAAGAGGAACATTACTCAGATAGGCCCTATAACCCCCATGACGTACATGGACAGTATGTGGCTTATCATGATACTATATAATATCCTATATTCATATCATAATAAAGTATCATTCTCTTCTTAAATCTTCCCCTTATTTTGCTTATTATACTTCCCAGAAGTATAAACTTGACAGTGGTAGCACAGGTAGGTTATCCATACCTACCCAACTCAAAGGAAAATTCCTCTCAAGAAAAGAACCCAAGCAATGTCACTCCCTAACGGCTGGAGAGATTCTGAAGAAGGACAAGACGTTCCTGCAGGCCCCATCATCTACAATAACATCCTTGTACCCATTGATCAGTACAATTTTCTAAAATCCCACAGATTTTTACCCACTGCATTGGCCACAACAGGACCACAGCAGCCTGAGATACCTAATATTGTATTTCAATGCCTGTGCACAGCCAAAATTAGCGCTTTTGAAGGACTACGTTGCAAAAACGCCTCCCTCTGAATCAACAGCACACAAAGCAAATTCAAACAAGTAGAATACCCCCAAAGACTCTGGGTCAGCAAGATTTCCCTCTGTGTTACAGGAACTGCATCACAATTTGTAAGCAAATGGCTGGCTCAACACCCCAATCAGAAGGAAGATTGGAAGATGTTCAAAGCTGCATTCCTCAAAAAGTTTTCCATGAAGGATTCCAATGAGGTGATTATGACATAACACTAAACCTTCAAAATGACAGGAACTATTGAGAAGTATATTGAAGCATATGAAGATCTACTTGACTGTGCACCCAACACCATCAATTTTGATGAGCCTGGGCCACACCTAGACCTCTAAAACGGCCTCCTCACTCACATTAGACACCAGTTTGACATGACTTGCTGCAAGAACCTCAAAGATGTATACTTGGAAGGAAAGCGCGCAGCTCAGAAATCTGACAATCTACATGCAACTAAAAAAGTGCAAGGAGAGCCCTACAGCCAAGAAGAATATTTGGCCCAATAATCAAAACAACCAAGCTAACAACACCCATCCTCAAACTGGAAATCACATTACACAAGCCAACCAGGCAAGCACGGAAGATACCAACAAGGAGGAAAAAGTTCAGGGGAGTGCTTAGGCAAGCTGCCCTTCCTCAACCTACAAGACTTGTACAGGGACAAAGATGTGGTTTCAATCACCATGATCCAAGTACCCTCCAGCAATCATCTATTGTTTTCTGCCCAAACTGTAAATAAACTCCTCACTTATCATTTCTGTTTTTGCAGATATCAGGGCACTGCACTATTCAACACTGGAGAAGACCAATCCCTAGTTGACAAGAAATTTGCCAACCTCATGAGATTACCAACCACTCAAAGCAATATCAGGAGATTTAACAAGGCAGACAACAAAAGCACGCCAGTCACTCAAGAGGCAAAACCTTTCTGCACCCAAAATTGGAGACGTGAAAACCACATTCAGCAGCCCAATCATAGCAATTCCCAAGTATGATGTTATAATTGGTCTAGATTGGATAAGAAAGACTAAACCTCACATTGACTGGGACAGTACTACCCTCATAATACAACAAGGAGAACTAAACCACCATGTTTATCCAACTCACCTTGATACGCTTATTAGGGACCATGTATTTGTGAAAATCATAGAAACAGAAGAGGAAACTGACTAGCAAAATCAACTGGAGTACCTGCACGTACAAGGTTATCCACTTTAAAAACACGAAAACTCAACATGAAAAGGACTACATCCAAGACCAGCTATTAAGCAAATTCCCCTCTGTTTTCCAAGAAGCACTATCCAGATTACCACCTGACCATGGAATACAACACAAAATTGACCTCAAAGGGACTGTACCCAAAGCACAACCCATCTATTGCCTCACGCCACAAGAAGACAGTGTCCTAAAAGCTTACCTTGACAAAGCACTCAAAAAAGGCCCATTAGACCTTCAAAGTCACCTTTTGGTACTGCTGTCTTCTTTGTGGCAAAGAAAGATGGAGGACTCTGCCTGGTTACAGACTACAGGGCCCTCAACAAGGTCAAAATTAAGAGCAGGTATCCCCTGCTCCCAATTGATGACCTTTTTGACGCCCTGGGGGGGTTCCAAATCTTTACAAAAATTGATTTGACAGCAGGTTACCACCAAATTTGCGTGAAACCTGAAGACATTCCAAAGACTGCATTTAGAACCAAGTACAAATCCTTTGAATGTGTTGTCCTCAATTTTGGCATAACAAACGCCCCCAGTACCTTTGTGACCTTCATGAACAAAGTTTTCAAGGAACACATTGGGAAAAGAGCAATCATCTACCTGGACAACATCATCATTTACAGCCCCAACCTACAACAACACTGGGAAGACATCCGCGCAGTCTTCTGTACCCTGCAAGAAAACCAACTAGTTGCCAAACCGTCCAAATGTGAGTTCTTCTCAACTGAACTTCCATTCCTTGGCCATATCATCAGCAAGGACAGTATCAAGCCGGATCCAGACAAAATACACGCTATAACAGAAATGCCAGCCCTAATAAACAAGAGCAAACTCTGCACCTTCCTTGGAATGATAGCCTAAGTACGCAGGCTCATCCCTGACTGGGGTGCCCTAACAGCCCCCTTGTCAGCCATCACCAGGAAAATAACCAAGTTTGTCTGGACACCTTTACAAGATCAATATTTCCGCCAACTAAAGGAACACATGGTCACCGCCCCCATCCTTCAATACCTGAATTGTGAGGGTATCTATGAGCTAGAAACTGACGCTTCCAATTATGCTATAGGAGGGTACTCTGTATCTAAGCGGCCCAAAAAGACTTCCTCCCTGTGGTGTATGAATCAAGGAAGCTATCTGACAGCAAAAAAAGATACCCCATACATAACAAGGAATTGGTAGTCATTGTACACTGTCTCATGAAATAGCAATGCTATCTGAAAGGAGCCCAAACGTTTAAAGTACTCACCAACCACAAATTGCTGATATTTTTAAAACACAACAACACTTATCAAGAAGACAAGCAGATTGAATGAATCTCATACAGAGATACCCCATGAAAATCAAATATAAACCAGGCAAGGAAATGCTGACTGCAGATGCCCTATCAAGGCTATACAGCAAACATGTCCTTTGCGCTGATGGTGACCCTGACTGGCCCATGTTAATCATGGGGAATCTCCAAGAAGGGTTCCCACCTGTCACCCCAATAGACATCCAAGAGAAGGTCCTTAAGAACAAGCATCTGTTCAAAAACGTATATGGTACGCTACACCAAATACTTCCAAATGGTGACACTGTACCCTACATCCTATCAACACAAAAGATTGACACAATCCTCCAATATCACAGAGACCTGGGACACACCTATAGCAGGAACTTTCATGAATATCTCAAGACACGCTATTGGTAGCCCAACATGCTAGATGATATCAGAGAAGTACTGGAGCAATGCAAAGTCTGTGAAAAGTATGCCTGAACCAAAGCACCACCCAAGTTGGTATTACCTGTATCCATCACACAACCCTTCAAGGTATGGTTGTTAGATATTGTGGGATCAATGCCTGGTGAAATCAAAGGCAAGAAATACATCATAACAGCTATTGACTATGCAACCAGATGGCCTGTAGCACAAGCCATCAAAGAACACAAAGGCAACAATGTGAGACAATTTATTGGCAAAGAGATCATAGCAAAGTTTGGGAAACCTGACCTCCTAATCACAGATGAAGGCACCAAACTTAAAGCCATTGACACCAATATCTACCTTGCCAAAAAAAATAAAAAACATCACAGCCTGTCCATATCACCCTCAAGCAAATGGACAAGTAGAACAACTAAATGGCTCTCTGGTGCCAGCCCTCAGTAAGTTATCTGCTAACAATCCAAAAGCCTGGGTTGATATGCTTCCAACAACAATCATGGTCTGCAGAACACAAGTTAATCGCAATACAGACAAAAGTCCTTATGAGCTTGTTTATGGACAAAAGCCCTCTCTTGTCATTACAACTGACAATCCAAAAATTACCTCTACCCAAAAAGGTGTCAGACAACAGTGACCCCAACGTACAATGTGCTAGAAAAGACCAAGAGGAAATGGAACACAAAAGAGTTGAAAGGGAAGCAATCCCATTACAACAGGAAAGATTCCAAGTCAGAGACAAGATCTGGGTTGTCAACCATGACCAGCATAAATTAGACCCAGGATTAAGCAGGCCAGGCATTGTCATGTAAGCCAAACCCAACAATACCTACCTCATCAAGGGAATAAGAGCTCAGGCTGAACTGAAATACATGCACCACAACCAACTCTGCCTGTGCAAAGCAAGAACAGCCCAACAAAATTCCAGACTCCCTGTTCCTAACGCCAAACTAGCTCAATACCAAGCGTGTATACCCAATACTCTTAAGAAAATTCCCAAGGCTCTGCCTTCCAGCACCCCAGGGGAAGATGTTGTAACATCTTCAATTACTCCCTCTTGGGGAATTAACACCCCAAGTAGATCACCAAATGGCTCACCAAGTGGTTCACTGTCCAACCAGTAAGCTGGTGGCACCAGTATCAGGCAGCCATCTATTACGGGAATCACCCAATCAAGATCCCAAATGAAACACAACTTGAATAAGCCTTGTGACTCAAGAGAAACATTAATCAGATAAGCCCCATGACCCTCATGAAGTACATGGACAGTATTTGGCTTATCATGATATTATATAATATCCTACATTCATATCCAATAAAGTATCATTCTCTTCTTAAATATTCCCCTTATTTTGTTATTATACTTCCCAGAAATATAAACTCAACAAAGCCTACACTTTGGGGCATGGCATGACATTGGTAATAGATTGCACAACAATCATACCAGAGTTAAATAGGGAGCAGATAGCCTCTCAGGCTTGATTATAGCTAAGCAAGAAGGTTGGAGAGGGTCCCTTGTAGTCCAGTGGTCAGGATACTATACTTTCACTGGAGCAGCCAGGGTTTGATCCCCTGTAGTGAGTGTGAGAGAGGGAAGCTAAACTTACTAAGCTTGGCTCTCATTCCAGTAAAAAAGCCCACCAGGATGCCACCTAGTGCAGGACTAAAATAGCTTCTCAAATAGGGGCCCAAAAGAATGCAACAAGGGACAGCTGAGGGAGGTAGGCATTCAGTCTCATCAGGAGAATGCCAGCAATTAGCTAGTAAGTGTGTTTGAGAGCAAACTCTGGGATCACAGGCAAACCAATATGGTGATTAAGGTCTTCCAATTTTAAAGGTGCAAGTGGTTGAATTTCTTTATCTCAATGACCTGTTGATACTGCAGTGGGCATGGCAAACTCCACATCATCACAAGTTAGGCTGAAAACCAGATTCTCCCCTGTGGAAATCAGGTCATTAGCTTTTCTAGGAATATCATCCAGGAGATACAGCAGTTGGGAGGCTCTTATCTGCTAGGTATTCAGAGGATTAAATATAGATCCAGAGCTCAGGAGATATAAACTAAATCATGAACAAGGCAGGAGCCAGGGTAAAGATCATAAACTTCACAAATAAGAACAACATATTTAATTTTGCAGGAAATTTTGAGGGCTCCCAGATGAACAGAATAGTTTTTAAAATTAATAAATAATAAACCTAGGTAAACCACAGCAAAATTGATGTCTTAGAGGGTCTGGACAAGGTTTGGTAGCCTTGGAATAGGCCAGGGGAGTCTTTTACATCATCATGTATGCTTTTTAGAGCATATAGGAGAGAAAAACACTAAAATTTTATTAAAAGTAAGTTTTCATATAAATATTAACTTAAATTCAAGTTTGAACTCAAAAAAAAGCAGGTAAATAATAAGGTTTTGATGCTAAAGTTAATCTTAGAAGAGCCAGAGGCACCAGCAGAGACCAGGGGGAGATCAAGGAGGTAAGGGAAACCCAAATTTTTACTAATATTTTTTAGATAAAAGGACTCCAGGGTACAGAGTCCAAAGACCATAAATTAAAGTAAAGCATTTATTTTTAAAAATAGACAAGAAGAGAACCTAGGGGAACCTGCTTGAAATTAAAAGAGTGAAATTGGCAATCTTGGAGCCACTGGGAGCAGGGGAGCCTCCTGGTTGGCTGGCAGAGAACTTTCGCAGGCTAAAATCAGAGGGAATTGGAGAGTTTTGGATTGATTTCCTCACTCTCACCTGATTGGCTTAGAGTTATTGATGGGGCAGGACAACTCAAATCCAGAGGTTTTTGGACAGGAGGAGTTTTTTACTTGGTACATACTGATTTGTTAGAGCACATTTATTTTAAAAGAGGGCAAAACCAAGCCAACAATAATTCAAATTTATTAGTGTTTCTTCCCAGGTTAGACACAAAATTTTGGCACCAGCGCACACAGTCTGGGAGAGATATACCAGTGAAAACTCTCATCAATTGCTTGTTCCAAATCTCCCAAATAATTCAGGGGTTTGGCAGGTATTTAGGAAGATTTCTTGGTTCTTTGGGAGGGATTTTTCTATCCAAGGCCAAAGGGAGGAGTAACTTTACAGTGAGCACCATATTGTTGTGTTTAGTTTTGGGGTTTTTCATTCAAGAGAACACAATGGGAGACCTTTATTACAAAAGTTTGAAGTTTAAAATAGCAAAGAATTGCTCTTCAGGGCAAACTTAAGAAAGTGCACCTTAATTTTCTGAAAAAATAAGAGTTTTCTTTTTGGTAAAAGAAAAGGAGGTGCTGAAGTAAATAAATCCAATTAAAATGGGAATAAACTTGTTTTTATTGGAAAAAATAATGGCTTATATAGTTAGCTAGAGCACTGATCACTTATTAGAAAGACAGAGGGGTGAGAGTTACTACCATGGTACCCAGATAGAATAAATCATGTATTGTGACCTGGAATGTGTGGACACTGGTGAAACCCCATTTAAGGAAATAGGGATGTCATTGAACTCAAATACAAAACAAGTCACATCTTTGCAAGTATCACAATTTGAGGTTAATATCAAAATAGTATTAATAGTGCAATTTACAACATGTGGCCTTCCTGGACAGTTTTAAAACTATGGGATTAATACTATCTGTTCTGCCAGTCTGGGTTCTTTGAGTTTATTGCTATGTCTGTATGACTTGGATTTCACTCCCTGACTCAGCACTACTCCTGTTTCCCACTTCCTGGACTATAGCCACTCTTTTCTTTGACCAACAAGGGCATATATGACTGTGGTGTACTTCTTTGGCTCCTTGACTCTGTTGTTGTGATGTGTCTATTTTGGTATTAAAAATAAAACCCAAAACAAAATAAAATTAAATCAGTTTAACTATATAATTTATTTAATATAATTTTTATTTGTCAAGATATATTAGCATAAAAGCTTTTAGTCACTACCATTTATTTCATGTTAGGCTTTAAATTTTCTATGTTAATTATTTTTGGTTGTAAATCTGTACTTTCAGTCATTCATATTGATAAATTTGATTTTTTTTGTTAATTTTAATCCAAAAACAGATACTCAGAATATTTATTTTCATTTTCTGTTCTAGATTGTATATATTATTTAGGATGAACTGGTAACAATGTTTTAGATTCATTAATTTATTTTGATGTTTAATATTTTGTTGTCTGTTTCAGTTGCTATGATGGTTTAATGTTGTATCAATATTTTCACTTTAGCGACTGGGTTCATTTTGCTTTCAAAAAAATTAAACATAGTAGATTTGTTCTGTGACTGGAACTCATGTGTTCTAGTGCTTGGTACATTCTTTGTTGAATCATCATACATTTTTTCTCAGTTTGTATGGGTTGTTGTGTAACTGGACATGTTTGCCAATCAATGTATATTTTCTGTATAATTAGCTACTATTTATATCAAAGAGTTTGAATTTTTTTGGTGAATGAACCAATTTGTCCTGAACTGAACTAGCTTTGGTTATTTCAACAGGTTAAAAAACTAGTATACTTAAATCTTTCAATAGTCTGCTGCACAGTATGGAGCTGTAAATCATTGATATGAGTTAACTGCACCAAACTGTCAGTTAAAGATGCAAAAGTGTTTGTTCTTTTAAAATAACTTTTTATTGATTATAAGACATTTTAAAAAATTCCAAATCCTGCCACTGTGGCATGATAGTTTGGTACATACATAATAAACAAAAATTTACAAGAGCAATAAACTTTAATTCCGAGCTAAAAGGAATTGCCTCTTAGCGGATTTGAACCACTGACCTTTCCCTTACTAGGGGAACGCTCTACCCCTGAGCTAAAGAGGCCCTTTTGGATTTAAGAAAAGATTTTCTTTATTTATAACAAGTATAACATTATGAATATCCAATCCTTATAGTGTGAGAATGAGCCTAAAAAGAAAAACAATAATAACGATCTGATTTAAATAATATTATTATATCATACTTATAAGGTATTAAAGAAGCTTATCCTTAAAAAAATAAATCCAAGATCCGCTTATTTGGCTCCAGAGAAAACTCGTTTTGTAATTACTTCCGACATACTTTCTATGCTAATTAGATATCAGGTATAGGGTGATGTGATCTTGAAAGTCTATTAGTTGAAGATATAATCTCATCTCAATCCAATGATATTATATAAGCCAAATACACTATATTAATTAATTTTTTTAAATATCTAGTTTATCCCTTTTAAAATTATATACATCGATTAAACCAATTTGATCAGATAAGAATCATTAGCTTAAATTAATTGCGTAAATCACTCAGATTCCACCATAGCTTAATGCAAATACATCCGAACAAGGTAGAACTAGCTCGCTGTAAATATATATCACATTTAAAGATATATTGATATTTTGTTTAGACGGAAACTCTCCTATAAAAACAAATGATTCGTTCTAAGCATCTCCAACAATGAAATTCTCAATTCTCGTCGCTCTCTTCTCAGCTGCTCAAGCCCTCCATCTCTGTGGCAAAAGCGAAGAGCCCCAAGTAGAGCAGGCAGGCCCTTCCGTTATCAAAGGCTGTATCAAAGAGACCCCCATCTATAAAACTCATTACAAGCATATTCATGGCTTCAATACTGTCAACACTCAAGTGAAGGAGATGGTTCCTGAAACAAAGGTAGTCAAGTCATACCGTACTGTTGAACGGGTTGTCAAAGATGTAGTTCCTGAGTTTAAGACCGTTGAGTGTCTACGTCCTGAGTACAGAACTGTCACTACTCAAGTTCCCTACACCAAATCCATCCCCTACAAAGTGAAGAGTATGGTGACAGAAGAACTTCCTCCCAAAATCATTGATGAGCCTAAGATCAAGGAAACTCACCACTCCCATCCTTGCTCTCATAACGAGGTCTAAGTTTGATGGAAGTAGCAATGTTCTTTGATTTATATTAGCTTATATCTACTAAAAATAAAATTTCATATAAATTGCTTTAAATCAGTTTAAATTTAAATAAGAAAGTAGCGACCAAACTACATATATTATTGCATAGTAACCCAAACAATAAAATCATCAAATTTTTATAATCTATTCATAGTTGATATGATCAACTTAATGCTTTAACATAACCAATGGATCTTTCCAGAGATTAAAAGTATTTTTTTTACACTTTTTGAGTCAATTTTATGTTTTATAAATGATGTTAAAAATATCTTTAGATTTAAAAACCAAAAATATATACAAATAATATTAATTGATTATATTAAAATTACAGGGTCACTTCTGAAAAAGATTTAGTTTCCAATAAAATGTCACTTTTTTAGTTCAAACACTTCCAGATCAGAAATGACAACAGTCAGCATTTAAACTGTCTACATGTAACATCCTCCATGTTGTGCAAAGAACCAATAATTGGGGGAGTATTTTAGCAAAATAAGGTACCAAGTTGGCAACTTGGAACCCGGTGAGCGCAGTCACAATGAGATAGACCATCATCATCCATCAAAAGACCTTTGCGTGTACATTATAATGTCTGAAATTACTGGAAAAATACGTGAGTACATAGTATATAAAGGTGTATATAGCTACAGACTGTAGAGTGGGGCAAAACCAGCGTGGGCCAGGAGTTCT